TGCCTTCGCTCCTGTCAGTCCACTTAAGGGCCTTTGGTTTCAGAGGAGGCCATTGTATTTCCTCCATTGCCTAGCAACCATCACCAAGGCCAGCAGTCCATTGTTGCGGAGGCTGAGCACCTGAATTGCCTGCTGCCTGTTTCTACTTTTCAAAATTGTACTGTAATTTCACAAAGTGGTGTTTCAGCATTAGAGAGAGAGAAGGAGCGAGAGAGGCAGCCTCGCTCCAAATTGGAGGGTTATGAAAATTAGGGTAAGCTTCGTTTGTTGGTTTCACATCAGGAGCTGCGTGCATTTTACAAAAGCCCAACAAACATATTGTGCCGGCGAGGAATGAAAACAAACACTCAGTGATTTGTATAGTGTAGTGTGTTCAACCTATAGTGTGTGCGTGTGTGTGTGTGTGTGAGACAGAAAGAGAGAGAGATGGAGGCAGATAAAGAGATTGATGAAGACAGGAATGGAAAGATAAAGAGATTAGTTGTAGGTTTACTGCAAGTGTTTATGGCCTCCTAGTTTGTTGAAATGCACTTTATGGACTGAGAGGCTGATAAAGCGAGAGCTAAACCCACAAAGATAGTCAGACAAAGAGCGCAGAGATGTGGAGATACACAGAGAGAAAAATGGAGAAAATGGGAAAAAAATATGAACAGAGCAACATGTAGTGGGCGGAGCTTAAGTGCTGAAAAGGTTTATGGGCTAGATTTTTCTCAGTGACGTCACTTTTACACAGTTTCCTTGAATAGCACCTGTGTGCATGGGGGCTGTCTGTCTGTCAGTCCTGAGTAAAAACATAACCCATGCCAGCAAAAACACATCTATCAGTGTTCTCCACTGGGCAATGGAGACAGACTGTGCCTTTTTCCTCAGAGGCCAATACAGACTCTGTTGTCTTTAGATCTCACCGATTGGCCCCCTCAACGCTTCCATTTTCTCAACCGCCCGCCCCCCCAACTCAATCATTTCAGCATCTTTTCTGAGAGCCTTTGAAATTTTTTTTCAATTCTCCTTTATAAAGTAAGGGTTTTTTTCCACCTTCCTTCTCTTCGTGCAGTGAAATTGCTCTTTTTTTTTTTTTTTTTTTTTTTTTTTGTGCGCCAGGAATCGACGCCCTTGTGGATGACCCCAGGTGTCTAATTCAGAAATGGTAAGTGCCACCAATTTTACCGTGAAAGAAATCCGTGTCTCATTACACTGAATATTCTTGTATTGTTTTTCTTATCTTTCGTTTGTCGCTTTTTTAAATATTTTGGGTTTTTAGCCTTTCCGTTGCAGAAATCTAGGTTTGCTTTTCCAAAGACTAATAATTTGTGACTATCTTGCCATTGTGTGTCAATGTCACCCACTTTCTCTTATTGATTTTCAATTGTGCAACTGGTCCATTCTGTGTCTGCATCCTCGCATTTGGCATCAAATTGCTGCACAGAGATGTAACATCCTGACAAATCAGGCTATTCTCACTTATTCACTATGAGAGGCGCTTAAATGCACTAATAATACTGTCTAAGACACACACACACACCTAAGACTGGCATGCATCTTACACTCTGTACATGTATAACCCATACACACTCAAGCGAATCAGGTTTCATTGTATGTATACACACATACACACACTCAGATGGTCTGGTGAGATGGCAGCGCTATTGGCTGATGTGCTCTCAAGTTTCAGTAAATACTTACTACATTCTCTGCATAAATAGTGGGATTTAAACATACTTGGAATCAGTTTACACACTGAAATTTTACACAAATTGAAGGGGCAGAAAAAAAAATCAAGATTTGAGCCATTAACTGTTTTTATCAGCTTGAACTAAAGAGGATAATCTCACAGCAAACGGCTCTTTCCCTTGCAAGCATTTAAATATATAGGCTTTTTGCTCTAATATAACAAATAAAGTCAAAGCGATGGTCTTAAATAACACGAGCGTCTAACATGCCCGTGTAATTCATTAACCGCAATGTTTCCATTGCTGTAATATGTGCCTATGCAGCTAAAGCATTAACAAAATGGCAATTTGCCAATAAGAAAAGACCGTCCGACCTCAAAAGCTGACTGCAGAGGTCCAAAATGCTCCTATTGATGTTAAATTATTGATCATTATCAATGACATTAAAAAAAAAAAAAAAAAACTTCCCTGCATCCCGCAGACTTTGTTGACTTTGTGGAACAGAGTGCAGCGTTAAATTAATGCAGTTGGTTTATTCAGGGAGATAAAGGTGTTGTTTTTCTTTCTCATGGAAAATAATACACATATTTTTCAGATTCCTAAAGTATTTAACGAAAACTGACAGAAAATGAAGAAAATCCTGTGGCGACAGATCACACAGCCTCAGAGTGTTCGCGTTTGTTCCTGCTTTCTTATCGATTAATCTGGAGATTATTTTCTAGTTTTGTCTAAACAATGAAAGAAAATATTAGAATATCCTGTTTTCTATGAATTGTTCATTACGTGATAAGAATAGAAGCTTCGTCTGATATTTGAGCAGAGATTTGAAATTTTTTCCTTAAAATATGACTTAAAGCAATTACCAGGCACACTGCTGCTCTCCTTCACACTGCAGCATTTTACAGTACTCTGTTGTGAAGCTGCTTTTAATCAGAAGGGATTTTTTTCCAATTGTTGTGCTAAATGTTTCAAATCTATTCATATAATTTCAGAGGAGTCCTTACGTTCTGAAATGCCATTCATTTCTTGCAGTCACATTGCTGATGGACAGCTGAGTTTATTCATGTTGATGTTGGTACATATGAACACCACGCGGCAGCTGGTTAGAGGGTGTTTTCTCTCTGTTTCAGCTTGCAGGGTGGTCAGGAGCCGCGCTGAGCCTTGGATCACATAGTTTGTACCAGGCAGATAACCCTGACGGTGACCCCGGGCGCTGCCTCAAACCTCTGTGCCTTCGTCCATCCTTTTGGCCTCGTCCTTTCTCCAGAACATCACGCTCGCAAACACTTAACCCTCCGCTAGTTCCATATTTAAAGAGAGAGAAACTGCAGGAGTAAAATTGTACTTAATAATACAAGTTAGAGTCAAAAAGGAATGAAATTCTGTATTCAAGCCAGCAGAGATGTAAGATGAAGGCTTTGTGATTCCTGCTTTCAAATACGAAAAATGGCAGATGAAAGATAATGGTCACACAGAGATAACTGCAGTAATTGAAATAATAACCCACACAATTTGTCTATTTTTTTTTTAACCGTGTTTCTTTTGATACTGGTTTCAAGCACTTTTACAGATGGTTTCTTGACAGGCTGCCAACTGAATCATTTAATCTCTGTGAGCACAAGGAGAAGGCCGCCAAGCACAGCCAGTTCTGCTGTGAAGCTCCGGCCTTCAACTGAGGAAACTTTGGGTTGAAGGTGGTTTCCCTGAAAGCTCCTTCAGCCCGCGCCTGTCTTCACAGGAAGATTTGGATTGTATGTTAGCTCAAGGAGGCCACCTTGAGTATGGCCCATAACTTGGCAGTGACACATCAAGACTAGAAGAACCCAACAGTGTTAACTGTGTTTCATTCAGATGTACTTAGCTGCTTAACCCTGTGATTATTTAACTGATGCTTTTTGCATCAGGAACGAAAATTATTGTATTTGAAGTTAAAGAAAGAAGCTGCGTGATGGGTGAAAGAGGTGAATCCCTTAACTGTATGGATGTGGAAGTCCACAGCAGCATGGAAGACTAGTGATTTTGTTGTTTGTTGTTTAAAAGGACAACAAATCATTGTCTCCCTCATTGCTGTGTGACACAAGCTGCAGGACTAAGTCATGTCTGTACGTTTTTTCAGGGCACGCAGATTTTCTTTTGAGACACTGCATTTTAAAAAAAGTAAAGTCCTCCAGTCTCCTCCATAGAAAGCGGAGCACTCTGATGCCTTACTATTGTGTGCAGCAGACCTATTAGAATAAAAGGAGGTTGTGTAAATCTTTATCCCAATTTAGAAATGGCATAAGTTTGGATCACAAGCTTAATTTTTATTATAACTGGGACCCATACTGTACTGTTTGCAATAAAACTCATTTGTAGCATGCAAAATACCAATGCTACTGGGAAGATGGAAAGGATATCAGCCTTTTTCTTTGCTATTGTCAAGAGTTTATATTCTACTTTGTTTCAGAATGATATCTATATTTAAATGTCTTTTGTATAAGGATTGAGTCCAGGCCCATAAATGGAGGGCGTGTGGAAGGTGATGTATTTTTCCTTCCTTTCTGTTTTGATGTGCGATGATTACAAAGAGAGAGCGCACAAAATGTTGTTCACTTAAACTTATTAGAATTGCCTTTTTATCATAAACTGTAGTATTTCAATAACAAACTGCCTTAAGTGTTAAAAATCATTATTGCAGCACATCTTTACAGTGCATTGCTTCGGAAGCTTGTTGTGAACATATTAATGAAAACATTTTTGGTATGTATTTCAATCTCAGCTAAAACTGTCGACATGAAAAATAAAAACATCTGCTACCTCTTTACATGCTTATGGAGGAGATTTTTTTTTCTCTAAACCTAAAGGTTGCTGTGATTGAACAGATGAGTGCCTGTTTAATTTAATTACGGCTCTAAGGATCGGTCACTGAATCCACAGATGAGGGTTAAAGGATTATTTAAAAAATTTTAAATAGCAAATTGACTCGAATTGACTGGCTTTCAAACCTGGCGTTCTCTGAGTGGATTAGGAAATACTGTTATTTCTGCAGATAAAATGGCCTTAGTTTAGGTAGCAACACACCTCAGTTTAGGTGGAGTCTAGTACATCACCTGCTGAAGGTTCTCCAGTGTGTTGAACCAGAGCTTTGACCCGATCCTGCAGCACTGCAGTGCTTTGGCCTGTGTGCTAAAGAATATTCAGTCTCTCAACCAGAGGCTGGATGCTGGACCTGCTGATTGTGAGAAATTACTTTAAAAATACGAGTCACAAGAAAGAGAGAAATAATAAGATCAGACTACAGCGATGATGTCAAGAAATCTGACAACAGGGTGAAAAATGCAGGGTTTTTTTATATATAAATAAAGATCTAGATTACGTTCATTCATTTTACAATGATTTATGGGGTGTACAAAAAGGTCTATAAAATTACAGTATAATGGTAATCCAACAACTATCAGGATTATATGATAAACCTTTTGTAACGTGGGACCCAAGAAACATGCGCTGGAGCGAATATGATGACAGCAGAACTTTTATTTAATACTGTGGTTTGTTTACTGGGACACAGACACTCCCGCTCTGTCTCTGCTGTCACGTCCGCTTCCCCCCTCCGAGTGTCACTGCCAACATATAAAGAGACACAATCACTGTCAGATCCTAGCACACCTGTTCACCCTACCCCTGCGCCGCCCCGGGACCTCACTGCATCACCCCTCCTCTGCAGCTGGCCAGAGACCACACCCACGCCACACCTTTCAAACGGTGTTTTTTCTTATAGTGAGAACCTATCATTGTAGAGACCAGTGTAATGCTGGTAAATGCAGGGGCCAGTTCTTTCATTTAAAAGGGGAATTTACAGTAATTCACACATTAATTATGTAAAAGAAAAGTTGAAATGTAGACGCTGAAATATTGATTGGAAATTTTGTTTCACTTATAAACTGATTATCATATATTATGGTGGATATTTGATCTTCAACCATTTACATCATATGAACTCTGTTGTAATCAGTGGAAATATACATCTTACTATGTGTGTGTGTGGGGGGGAGTCAGTGAGGCAGTACTGAATCTAGGAGAGATTACATAAAAATGGAAGCACACTGCACAGAATCACAGCAAATGAAAATAAGAAAAACATGAAAACAGAAGAAAAAGACAGTCAGTATGTTTACTTTAACCATACAAGCAATACCTTCTTTGTCTAGAGACATACAAAGAAGCAGAAACAGAAGAGAAACTCTGCAAGCAGAGGAGCGGGGGACACACCTTTGTCCTTGGTGTTCTTGCACCTATCAGTCCTGGTTAACAAGAGCTTGGTAACAGTGGGGATAAAGAACTTTTATTTTAACAGGAAGACATGTCCAACAGAACCAGCAGTTAACTGTCCATTGACAGGGATGGCAGAAGGGACAGAATACAAACAACAAGGGAGTAGACAGATGTTAATGACATGCAATAGTGCCATTTAAACCTGTGGAGACTGACAGAACTGCCCAGTACATCAATGGAAGTATCCCAGCAGCTTTAGCCTGCAGTAGCATAACTACGAAATGGTGCAGGGTCACCTGATCCAGCCCTAAATATAAACTTTATCAAAAAGGAAAGTTTGAAGCCTGATCTGAAAATAGAAAGAGCCTGATCATTCGGGACATTTTGTCTTTCAACTCCTTGTTTATACCTTCACTGCAGCATTTTAGATCAACTACATGTTACGTGCAGGCTGTGTGCAGGCATGAATGGGGGACCCAAAGTGCAGACGCTCAGAGGCACAATGTAAACTCAAAACAGCTTTAATGCTGAACTCAAAAAAGGTAACAAAACTGAGACTCCAAATAAACTCAGGCAAGCAGACAGAACACACAGCATCACAACACAGACACAGAGAAACACAGGGCTTAAATACACAGAGGGAGCAATCAGGGAATGGGTAACAGGAGGGAAACACAGCTGGGGCAAATCAGGCCTAACGAAACAGGGGAAGCAAAACCAGATACATTAACATCAGACATGGACCTTCAAAATAAAACAGGAAACAACACAGACTGAACTAAAGACACAGACTCACACGCGGGCACTGCAACAGAGGGAACCGAGACGTAAACCCTAAGACGAAACACAGACAAAGAAACCAAAGACTAGAAATGATAAATAATATAATAAACTCAAACCTCTGGGTCAATGACCCAGGCATCCTAACACTACAGGCTTCTCAGGGGGCTTTTCAAACAACCTGAAAACATCCTGGCCAAAAATGACCCCAAGGTTCCTCATAGTAGTACTGGAGGCCAAGGCCAAGGTAATGTAAAGGTAAGTTAAAGAAAACCTTTTAAAGAATAACCTTAGAAATCCTGTCAGTCTTTGTGAACATTTAAAGTTGTATTTTTCTTTTTTCAATAATCAACATTAAACTATATATTACCGACAATATAAAAACATGCAGTTTTGATTATCTATGAATACGAGTCCTGACTAACTTCATTGGTGAGATGAAGTTAGTCACATCTGTCTACTAAACCTGGGACCCCATGCAGCATCATCAGATGATGCCCAAAAGTGTTGAATCAACATTAAGCTCAGATGTTTCACTTTTTTTCACATTTTATCGCTAATAAAATCAAATACATATGTTTATACCTGTGCTATTTATTCCTGTGCTATTTATCCATCTTAATTCTTTTGCTGTGAGTTAGCCGATTTAAAAAAGGTACCATCTGTAGTGATATCTGTGTTTTGTAACTGGAACTATATGGGACTTGCAGTGCTCAAACACCATGAAAAATGCAGCAGCAATGTCATTTTTCCAGAAATCAAGATACTCAAATGAACAAACATAAAAATAAACATGCAGCAACCTGTGTGGCGATAAAATGAAACATCACCAAAGTGCTAAAAACTGTAATTCTTCAAATGCCCACTCCAAGAGCTACCCAGTGTCCACAGACTCAACTTTACAGCAGGAACAGACATGCTTATAGCCCGGTAATTTTAGACATTTTAGACTTCAAATTCACCTAAATGGCAAATATAAAAGGGTTAATTTTTTTAATAACTTAATTGTTTAATTTTTATTGGGACTTACAGTTTGTTATTTGGGCTCTGGAGCTTTGACTGACAGGCGGATGTCAACACAAAGCGCTGTGCCCAACAGCTGTCTGCTGAGCTTTGAGTCATTAGTTGATGTGTGTCGCTAATTATCAGGTGTGTGTGTGTGTGTGTGTGTGTGTGTGTGTGTGTGTGTGTGTGTGTGTGTGTGTGTGTGTACCTGTTTAGACACCTTTGTGGGGACAGAAAAATTAAATGTTTCTATACTTGTGAGGAGCAACAGTCACTTGTGAGGACAAAAGTGACTGTCCTCACAAGATTGACGGCATTTTTGAGACTCAAAATGTGGTTTTAGTGTCAGAGTTACAATTAGGCTATGGTTAGGTTTAGGATGAGGGTTAGGCATTTATTTTTAATGGTTAGGGTTAGGGTAAGCAACTGGGAAGCATTATGTCAATTAGATGTGATAATTGATATACAGTGTGTGGTTTTGGGTAGAAACTGTCATGTAACTTGTGGGTCCATTGTGGTAGAAAGTATACATTCTTACATGAAACTGCTTAACATTTTTCTATTTTTAAGTAACATATTAAGTAACACTGGGCTTTTCAGATATATGTTTGTGGCAGTCTGACCAACACATATGGTGAGTGTCATTTCACTCTGTTATACTCACAAGAAGGCACACATCTCTGCAGACCAGTCAAAAACCAGGTAAGTCACATCAAAAGAATCAAGATGGGGATATGTAGCAACACCTGCACAAGAGAAAGGGAAAAAAATACGGCTCCTTTAATCTCGCTGAATAAATCTTTGGACTGTTAAAATTATTTGTGAAGTCTTATCTTTTTCTTTAAATCCATTGTGCTCCCTTTTTCACCCTTTATTGTTACAGCAGCACGCAAGGTTGGGCATACTGTGTCTGTAGTGTCACTATGGCAACCTGCATATCTGCCTGGCTTTGTACCTCCTGATATTG